TCAGCCGCGCTTGCCCAGCTAACCCGAGCGAGAAACCACACCTTGTTTACAGTCGTGAGTCTCAGACAGGCCCAGTGAACTTCAGCTGTACAGCAGGAGTGCCATCAGCACACAGATGGACCGCAAGTGGCAACAAGAGCATAACAAAACATACAAGTCGGGCAGTCTCGTATTGGGACGAGGGATTCCAAGTGCCGCAGATCGCGGAGTATCATCCAGTCAAATCACAGAAAGGGTCAGAAGGAATTGACTTGTTTAGGGTCACGGGTGAGAGGGACGAAACGATGTGAAAAAATGGAACAATCTTACTGTATGACGACGACGGTCCAACATCCTGAACCCGGCGATCAACTCCGTCAACCAGTGAAAGTGCCAGTAAACGGCAGTGAATAAACCTAATGCATAGGGTAGACCCAGAAACGGAACTGGTGTGTACATGCGGTTTTGTGTACACTTTGGATCTCTTGGCATTTACAGGAGCCGAGAAACGCAATCAGTGGCGTTGCTTTTCTTCGGGAATCGACAGAGGATTATTACTGGATCAAAGAGACTTGTATATCGTAAACCCTCAATATTGTGATAACTAATTCCTAAATATTGTTGTTTCGATATTTTCACAACTGGGTCCTTTCATTTTTCGCTTAATTTCGGCGTGTTTAATGTCAATATGACCATAGAGTTGAATAAAGCACCGCTTTACAAGTTTAGAGAATACAAATTTGAAATACCTTATGATCATGGTTTCTTTTGCATATTCCAACACTTTCAGTATGGTTCTAATGTGAAGCGATTAGCTGTATCGTTGGGATTCGGACTCACGCATGGAAGCTGCTTATGAGTTTAAATTGCGAGCTCTATCGCTTTGACAATAGCTCTGATCTTTTCCCGTTTTGTCTTTTGCCATGTAGGGAAGATGGTTTAATTCCATAGGCGAGATGAAAGAAGTTTAAAGATAGGTTTCATCAACTGTCCTTCTGTTTATTGTGCACAGATCCAATGAACACAAACAAACCAATCAGGACGCGGTCCCAAAGTCCATAGTACCGAACTGCCTAAAATGGATTGGCCTACTTTCAGGCATCGGTTTGATAATCTTCTGGATAGGACAGTATGCTCAGCCAACTATTTTCTCGGTGCAAAACTTGAAATTCATTCCGACCTCCATTTTTCATAGTAGTCATGTGGATCCTTTGAATCTCAGTGTTGAGTCATTTTTTGTCAAGAGATTTCGAAATGAAACTCCATGGGACAGATTGCCTAATCTGACACAACTCCACTGGCCCGAAGGTCTTTTTGCCCCTCTGCCTGCCGGTCGACTGCTGAGCTCGAAAAAAACCCGTGCACCGAATCCCCCGCTATTCTTCCCTATTATGAGTCATGGTCAAAAACAATTATACCGAAAACTGATGCAAAAATTGGCCACGCTGATGGATAGACACGGATATAATAATCGATACTTTTTAACCGGGGGAACATTAATCGGATCGCACAGACATCATGATTTCATTCCGTGGGATGATGATGTGGATGTGATGGTCGATGTGAAACTTCGTTCGTGGCTCCGTGACGAGCTGGCTTCCATGAGACCGGAATATGATGTTGTTCATGCTACGCGAGACAAATTTTTCACCAAACTTCTTCCTCTGGACCAGGACAATGATACAGATGTCGAACAAAGTCGAAATTGTACATCTTACCCATGGGGTTGGCCGTTTCTGGACATCAGTTACTATGAAGTAAATGAAACACATGTGAAAGAAATCGCCATAGCTTCCGGAGGATATTACCAATGGTCAATAGATACAATTTTTCCTATTCTTTATCGACCATTTGGTCCGGAATGGTATCCGACGCCACGGGACCCTTTGGGGACCTTAATTCCCATGTACGGCAAGTCAAATCAGTGTAAAACACATAGCTATTCACACGTGTTCGAACGCTCGAGTGATTGGAAAGGAGTGGATTGTTCCCAACTTGGTTCACGATATCCCTTTGTGCAACATCGTCCTTGTCTCGTCCGCGGGACAATTGCACGGTCCGGACGAACAATGCTTGTTGAGGAGCAACTCGTACTCGACAGTGGTCAGGGCGGTAAAATAGTTATTCATTCATTTTGTTTGGCCTCAGATGCGAGTAACTCTCGTGCGGATACCTACGCCATGGATTTTGTATAAAAAGAAAGCTTGCAACAGTGATGGTAATCCCCTTTGTAATTACACGAGCGATTTGTCAACGTGCATTTTATCGATCTGGAACCTACGAAACTCCCTTTTCCCCACCCCCGGAACTCCAAAAAACAATGATATTGTGACTATAGGACTCCACATCCAAGTGCATTTTTTTTACACCGGAATGGGAACAAAAATTGTCCGCAACGGAGATCAATAAGAATTGTTTTCAGTTCAGCGTTTTTATTCCAAACTGAATCTGGTTTGGCATAAATCTTTAGTTGTTTTATTTTTCCATTTTTTGTTACTTCACTTGTGCACAATGTGAAAATTATCACTGTATAAAAGCGTTTCTCTCTCTAGAGTTCTACCTAGCGAGAGTTCTTTGTTTCTTTCTATTAGTACCATTTGAGGTCGAAACTTCCCGCTTATTCCACTGACTCAGTCCAATGTAGTTTTCTTTTCCATCGAAATCACCTTTCTCTCTGGATAGAACATCTGTTGTACTTTGTTGTATTGTATTAAGTATGAATTCTGTTTGCCTATGGGGATCGGCTTCAATGAAGAAGTGTATCAGCCTAGTCAAAAAATGCTTCCGTGCACGCCAAGGGGCGCATCAACTCAAGTGAAAGAAGCGTTTTACGCACCCGAAGTGTGTGAAGTTTTGACTAATAACAAACTTGTATTGTGGAGTCACAAAACAAACTGCCACCAACAAAAAGAAAAGATTGTCGAAAATTCTACACTGTAGTACATGAGGACAAAATTTAATGTCTGAATTTTTCCCTGAGGTGTTGGTAACAAATGTCTTACGATTAATCAACAGGTGAGCAAGGCATGAAATTACACTGTTTCTGTATGCGGACCTACGATCAGAAGGGAGTTGATATTTAGAGCGAATTCGGGGATCTGACACAGTTTTCATGTTTTCCGGATGCAGACAATGTAAATAATCATGTGTTATCCTGTCAACAAACGTAGCTATGAAATAAAAAGAACTCACCCCAAATAACTTTATCCATTCCCCTGTAACTGGACAAAAGTTTCAGTCATTTGGAAAACAAGGCAAAATCTACGGACATAGACATAAAACCGCCAAAATATTTGGGTGATGGAAAACAAATCAATTTGATCCAGGCCCCAAGAACGGAACTGAAGGATGTTGTAGGCAACTCTCGGAGGCGTTAAAAGCAGCTCAGATCCACAACCAGTGGAACTTTGCACCAACCTTCACGCATTTTCAGGTCGAAGATAGGTTAACAGTCACTTTGGTGATTATTCATGAATAGTAGATATGCGATGATTCTTCAATGAATGCGTGGTCACGGAATGACAGAGGCAATGCCCGCGGATGTTGTAGGTTTTCATCTGAAGAGCAGTCTATAAACAACATAAAGCCACGAATTGCCATAAGAAATTACGCGACATGTGCAACAAGGTCCAAAACTAACATCATCCCGATGCCCAAAAGATGCAGTGTGCTTGATTACTTGGTGATTTGATCACAGCTCCGTCGCATTTCCGGTTTCATTCCTCATATTTTGCAAGCAAACACATAGTGCTGTTTAGGTCAGTTATTGAAGAATTTTCGAGTTATGCATTTAAATGCGATGGAAATGTTTGTGATAACCAACAAAGAG